TCAACATATTATACAAAATAATAAAGAATCAATAACAATATGTATGAAAACAATTTGACAAAAATTGAATTAGTTTTAATAGTAATTTTTAATGATGTAAATAAGTAATTGGAAAAAAGCAACTTATAGCAGAAATCATTCAAATGTTTAGTATTCTACAATTTTTTACATACGTTACTAAACTATAAGTGAATATAAGAGCATTTTAACATAAAGTTAAAAATATTATTATAACCTTAAAATACAAACAAACCTTTATTTTTTTGCGTTCGAGCAATTTCTTTTTCAATTTCAGATATTTTTTCTAATATGCCCATTTTGTATATAACAAGCACACGACAAATTTACATTTACAAAAATGATACACACCGTCATCCACGATGTGTGACAATATACACTTATGCATCTAAAGACATTTACCACAAACAATGAATTGTAGTGAAGGATGTTCATCACTGTTTGATTACACCACCTAGCGGCTTAACATAAGTATATTACTGTTCAATTTTATTTTCAAATGCAAACTAGCAGAAGCAAATCTTACTGTGTACTAGTTTATGATTGTATCATTTTAGTAACTCGTGGGCGATTCACTACTCTTCTTGGTTAACTTTCCTTAGCGTACGAGTTAGATTAAATTTCTATATAAAATCCAGTAAAAACGGTTACCATGTACGACGATTACAATGAGGTAAACATTATTTAAGAAATTTAAACATAGGAGTATTATTATATTTATAAAATTACGCATGTGTATAATTTCCAGTATGACGCCTACGATGATTATGGACCACCAGACGTTCATAGTGACCAATATGACAGATTAGGTTATCGTCAAGTACCAGAAGTTGTACGAAATTTTCTAGTAATCTTACGAAATTGCATAAATGAAGGAATGATTTTTGAGATTCAAAACCTTTATGAAACAACTTTCCCAAAAATTTCAGAGCAGTTATTTGATAAGTCTTCCTGGCCAGATGCTCAAACAATTGCACATATAGTTGACAATGATCCAGTATTTCTCACTTTATATAAAGAACTTTATTATCGTCATATTTATGCACGAATGCAAGGACCAACATTAGAACAACGTTTTGGTTCATTTTGTAATTATTGTGATCTTTTTAATTATATTTTACGCCCAGAAACACCAGTTCAATTGGAGTTACCTGATCAATGGCTGTGGGAGCTTATTGATGAATTTGTTTACCAATTTCAATCTTTTGCACAATATCGTGCTAATTTGTCAAATAAAACACCTGAAGAAATTGAAAACTTGAATGCACATAACAAAATATGGGATGTATTATGTGTTCTGAATGTTTTACATTATTTAGTGGATAAATCAAAAATCAAAAGTCAATTAGAAGTATATGCAAGTGGTGGAGACCCAGATTCAGTTGTTGGCGTATTTGGAAGACATTCTTTATACAAAATGCTTGGATATTTTTCTCTTGTAGGATTATTACGTTTACATTCACTTTTGGGAGACTACTATCAAGCCATCAAAGTATTAGAAAATGTTGAACTTTATAAAAAGAGTGCATATTCTCAGGTTCCTGGTTGTCAAATATCTACAGCTTATTATGTTGGTTTTGCTTATATGATGATGCGTAGATATGCAGATGCAATTAGAACATTTTCTGGCATTCTGCTATACATTCAAAGAACAAAACAATTGTTTGCAACAAGGAGTTATCAAAATGATCAGATTAATAAACAAACAGAGCAAATGTATCATTTATTAGCAATCTGTCTTGTTCTGCATCCACAATGTATAGATGAAGGATTACAACAAGCATTACGTGATAAAAATTATCACGAAAAAATGTACAAGATGCAATATGGAGATCTTGTTGAATTTGAATCATGCTTTCTATTTGCATGTCCAAAATTCTTATCCCTTACACCACCAAATCCAGATAATCCAAATGAAGATTATGTTCGGGAAGCAATCAAACACCAAACTCAAGTTTTCATGGATGAAGTTGTTCAGCAAAAAATGTTACCTACAATTCGTTCATATTTAAAATTATATACTACTTTACCATTGAGCAAACTAGCTACATTTATGTGTAGCAATACTAGACCTGATGAAAGTTGGGACTTGGACAAAGAAGTTAGTGTACTAACTATCCATTTATTGTGTTTTAAACATAAAATGAAAAATATTGTTTGGACAAAAGGTGCATCAGGATTGGATGGAAAATTTCAATCTGATTCAGAGGTAATTTGATATAATTATTTTAATCGTTTAATCACTATTAATTATAATCGTTATAACTGAAAAATATAATCTTTTCATGTTCGTTGTTACAGCTGGATTTTTATATTGATCATGATATGATTCATATCGCAGATACAAAAGTGGCACATCGATATGGTGACTTTTTCATTAGAAAAATTTTGAAATTCGAAGAATTAAATCGCAAGTTACGTCATAGAAAAATTTAAATATCGCCATGATATCATATATTTCGTAAAGAGAAATAAAAACGTGGATTAAGAATAAATATGTTTTTATTTATGTAATTATAAGATTTAAAACATTATAATCAGTCATTT